ATAAATGTGGCTCAGTTGCTGAGGGCCAGAAGTACAGTCATGTGATTATGGGGAGGGGGGCAACCGTTAGAACTTTGGATGTCGGTTGTAAGCACTCCCCAGGTAGGTCCATTGGAATTTCAGATGGTCTTTAGTCTAAGCAACCAGTCATAAGTTGAGTATATGGAAAGAAGCATTCCTCCTTCTAATGTTCTGGCCTTTAAAATCACCTTCAAAACTTTGAATTACAAAATGCCTCACATCCTAAGGATACATAATTGCAACCTTTCATTTTGCTTTCTGCATCTGACCAGAATCTTATAACGTATAATTTTGTAATCTTATAAGATAACGTGAATATCTTTGTATTTCCCTTTTTTCCCCTTGCTTTGTTGTAGGGATGTGTCAATATCTTGCAGTTACATTCTGTGGGTGAGACCCTGAGGTAAGCACTTACAAAAGTCCAAATATCAATTGTAACATGACGCATTCAGTCAACAATTTGCAGTTCCTGCCTAGTACAGATATGGCATCAGCTCTTTCAGATGACAAGTTTCATAATGCAGAAGAAGCATAAACCTGGGAATGAAAGGGAGAATAATAGCAAAAGTACCTGTTACCATAGAAAGTTAGAAGTGCTGCCACCATTTTTATTTTAGGGTGACTGCTTACCCTGCGTTGATCTCACTAACAAATATACTCTTAACAGTGAGGCACATCTTCTGGTTGACTCCAATAGGAAGTGCATTATTCTTTTAGACAACAATCTAAAAACTGTAGAGATTGCATTTCTGTATGTAGTTATCAAGAAATGATTCCCATGGAATTGAATTGGACTTAGGCTTATATCGACTGCATTATTAATTTGGTAATCCAATAGATAGTTTCACAATGGAAGATTTTCCACCATTATTTCTAATTAATTTGCATTGGGTTGCTGGCAAAATTTTATTAAAATATATGGTACTTTAAATATTGTACAGTATTCTGACAGTTACACAGTCTATAATAGAAACATGTTTACTTGTTTTTGTGCCTTCAAGTTGGTTTTTTTACTCTTGGTGACTGCCTGGACTAGTCCCTTGGCAAGGTTTTTTGGAAATAGCTTATCGCTGCTTCTGTCCCAGGGCTGAAAAAGTGACTGGTCCAAGGGTCACACAGCTGGCTTCATGCTTAAGGGATAATTAGAACAAAGAACCTCCCACTTTGCTCCCTCCCTCCGTCCCTGCCCCCCCCTCTCCAGTAGAGTAGAAGGTTGTTGTTCTCGAGCCACTTGTACATCCACTATGAAGTTGTGCAATTTTTTCACCAAAGTGTCACAGATATAAGAAAAATGAAGTAAACCACGGTTTACTTTAACCATGGTAAACTATAATAATGGATTTAGACATCACACAAAGTACACCAAATAAACTACATTATAGTTTGTCGCAACATGCATTTTACCCCATTATCCATGTTCAAATGTTGTGCTAATTTCTAAACCATGTTCCACAGAGTGAAATGGTTAAATTCACACTGTATACTAGGCTAATATCAACCAAACCATTCTGGGTTTAGCATGTTATTAATTTCTACCATTGTCTATTTAAATAAAGAATTTTGATGTAAAAACTGAGCTAATTTGTCAGTCCAACTTGCCAACTTTGGGGACTCAAAATCATAGTGCTCTGATGTTCTTAATGTCTCAGATTATTAATTGGTTTGTAAGGCGCTCACAATGTTTTCCTGAATCTATGGCAAATTTGGATTTGCACATATTTGAGTGAAGTGTAATATCTTTGAATGTGAAATTAACATTCTCACTTTTCAACTTTCTAAACATTGGTCACATGTTTTCTTTGGAAATGATCACTTGAGTAATCAGGCTGAATGAGTATTTTCCAAGGATATAATTATCTTTTCTTGATGTGTTTCAGGACATGGAAGAAGCTGCCCAAAGTGGAAAGTCTCCCTAATATAAGGCTTGAGAGTGCTATACTTTCTCCAAATGTCACTTACATCCGTTGGAAAGTTCATGGAGACTGGGTGACTCAGGTAAAAAACAGAAGGGTTTTCCACCTTCTGATCTAAAGAGAACATGGGGTGTTTTTGGTCTACATTCAAGTCACGTTTAAGCTTCTTACAGCAATCCAAAAATACTTTTTTTTCCTGAAAGGCAGGAAGAGTTCATTGTTGAGAAGCAGTTAAATTTTGACTCTAAGTATCATGATCCTTTTGGAAAATTGATGGGTGTGTTTTTCCAGGATTTTATAATGATTAGACAGCTATGTTCTTTTTCTGTGTGGGTTAATCTGATTCATTAGAGAAAAAAATTAAAATAATAAGAATATTCTCATCTCACTAGTATTTGGTTGGATAATATTCTTTTCTCTGTCTTTTTAGCTGAATTACTATGATTCTATTAAGGCAATAATTTCTGCATCAGGCCATGAGCCTACAGCCTTAGTAATAGGTAATTATATAATTCCTTATATTTTGTTTGTAAAGTCTCCCCTTAAAATTATTTCATGATTGATTACATGCCATCAAATTGGTGTTGTCTCTTTTGTTGTTGTTAATTGCGAAGTTGTGTCCGACCCATCGCGACCCCATGGACAACGTTCCTCCAGGTCTTCCTGTCCTCTACCATCTTCTGGAGTCCATTTAAGTTCATGCCTACTGCTTCAGTGACTCCATCCAGCCACCTCATTCTCTGTCGTCCCCTTCTTCTATTGCCCTCGATCTTTCCCAGCATTAGGCCCTTCTCCAGTGAGTCCTTCCTTCTCATTAGGTGGTCAAAGTATTTGAGTTTCA